CAACAGGGTCATTGAAAATCAAGGATGGTTTGGGTATGCACCAGTGCTGAGAGGTCCTGTTTATCCTAACCTCTTAAAGAATTTTTGGCTCCATGCTTTTGTTAGTCCTGATGGAAACACCATTCATTATCACATCTCCGGTGTTCCGATTACCATCACTCGCTCCTTCATTGATGAAGCCATCCAGAGTCCACCTTTACCCAACTCCTGCATGAATGTTGAAATATTTCCAATTGTTCCTAACACTTCATTTATATTTGAGCCCCTTAGTGAAAATCACTTGAAACCACTTTCAAAAGTCTGGTTTCAGTTTCTGTTGAAAAATCTTCATCCCAGAGGAGAAGATCTTGATATAGTCTTTCCTAGGGATATGTGTCTTCTTTATTGCCTTCTTAAGAATATTCGAATTCATCTTTCAGAAATAATATTCAATCATCTGAAGCTATCAATCCAAGCATCCAGGAACTCTCAAAAATCATTCATTCCATATGGACGTGTGTTGTCTAAACTGTTTGAGTTAGCAGGTATAATTGAAATTGTTCAACGAAATTTGTTCATCAGAGGCAATGCTCTATTTGATGAGAGTTGTGATGTGTTTGAAGTTTAGATAAGCTTTCCATGTCTATGATCACTTTGTTGTAATCTCTTTCGAATATCAATGAAATTTCTTTTCGTTTCTTCTAGTTTTTATGTTTTTCACACATTATTACCTTTTTGATTATGATAAAAAGGGGGAGTAATTTAAGTAAAAGTAATTTTGATTTCAATAATCAAGTTCTGGAAAATATTCTCTGAAAAGAGCTGCTTACATTCTAACCCATTTAAACTTATGTTTCTGTTAGAATTATTTTTCTATTTCAGGGAATTAGAACTCTGATTAAAAGACAAAGATCTGAAAGCACTATTCAAAGTTTATGCCTAATCTGTTGGCTTCAGACTCTGAAGATTTTCTTCATTCATAATTCAAGAAGTGAAACCTGGAATCAGACTCCAAAATTGAGAATCTATTAAGAATATGGAAAATGTCTAAGATCTATTAAAGTTCAAAGATTCAATAAAGAAGTTTTGTGAAATCAAGATCTCAATTTGTCTATTGGAATCCAAAGTCAAGACTTCCAAGATCTCGATATCTGATCTATTGGAACCAGGGAGAGTTTTTACTCAAATGGTTCAGAGTCAAGATATTAGATCTTTATCAAGTCATTGACTCAGGGGGAGTATCAGAAAAAGGATAAGTATTTCTTACCCTTCTAACTTCACTGATTATGATTATATGTACAAAATTGTGTCATCAAAATACATAGCTTTGTCATCATAAAAAAGGGGGAGATTGTAAGAATAAGATTTGGTTCTACAATATTATTTTAGTTTTGATGATAACAAATGAGTATGATTGTATGAACAATTATGTTATACTAATGTTTGTTATTGTTGAGTATTTAAACAAACAGGTTCTGCTTTTGATGGATGTAGTGGCCAAGATATTAGAAGAGAAATGATTCTGCTTCTATACTACACAATTTCTGTTGAACAGTAACAAGATACTTCAGAAGGCTTTGAAGTGTAAACTCCGATATTTGTCTGAAGAAACCAGTCAAAAGATCTAAAGACAGAAGTTGTCCAGATGTTGGAGACTCAAGCTTCTAAAACAATATGTTCTAAGGAAACCAGTCAAAAAATCTGAAGATAGAAGTTGTTACTTACGTCCAAATGCTAAGACTCACATTTCTAAAGACAACATGTTCCAAAGAAACAAAGTTAGAAGATCTGAAGACAAAGTTTCTACTGAAGTTCAGATGCTAAATGCTTGTGTTTCTATTTATGAAGTTCTAAAGATAAGGGTTATAAAGACCAAGTGCTGAAGACTCTAAAAGACAGAAGGTCTAAAGATTCTAAAGACTTGAAGTTCTAAAGACCCAAGGTTCGAAGAAAAGGCTTTCATAACCAAGTGTTGAAGACTCTAAAGACGCAGTTCTGAAGACTCTGAAGACTTGAAGTTCTGATGACCTGATGTTATGCTCTCGCTTCTAAACTCATGCTCGCAGAAGCCTCTAAAGTGCAGAAGGAAAGAAGATAACGTTAACGTGTTACAAATAGTACATGATACAATCAACGTTTCATTCCACTACCATGAAAGGATGAACGCATTGCACGATCTTGTCCCCCACATTACTGTTCAAGATGCCAATGTTTCTGGAAATTCCAAGAGAATTCCTCAACGGATACATTATGTTAATGGCTATATAAAGGCTTTAAGAGTAAGAAAGAAAGCAAGGCTAACTAGTGAATATTCACGCGCAAACACTACTTAATGTTTTCACATTCTAAGTCATTGTTCATAAAATAGTTTACATACTCAACTTTTTAGAAGCAATACTCTTGTAAACAAAAGTTGTATTCAAACTATTGTTTGATATTCCTTAAGGGATCGGGTAGGTCTGAATCCTTAAGAAGTCTAGAGCTTGCAAGTTTTAAAAGTTGTTAGTCATTTGTGGGTAGTTTGTGCATTGTAATAATCAGGTTGATTATTAGCTGATATTCCTTAAGGGACCGCATAGATCTGAATCCTTAAGAAGTCTAGGGCTTGCGGGTCTAGAGGTTGTTAGTCACTTGCGGGTAGCTTTTGTAAATTGTAATCAGTTTGGCTATAATGGACTAAGTCCTCGATTGAGTGAGGCGAAATCACCTTGGCGGGTGGACTCGACTAGCTTGATAATTTTCAAGTGAACTAGTATAAACATATATTGTTTTTTACTTTCTGTTCTTACTTATTGTTATTATCAAGAGTGAAGGAAAAATCATCTTAACTTAAAGGAGAATATTTTTAAAAGAATAGTTTTATTTTAAAAATCCATTTCAAACCCCCCATTTCTCGAGTTTTTCACACATTCAGTACGATCCCATATAATAAAATATTTTATAGATAAAACATACCCAATTTTATCATAGTAACACATGATTTCCAATGCATGATCTTGTTGTCAAAATAAACTTTATTCCTAACATCCCATATTTGATAGAAAGAGAAAGTGATGCAAGGTTTGATGATAACAGAAGCTTGAGGAGTCCATGTCTCAATTAAAATTCTCTTACAATCTATAAAAGAAGAGATGGAATAAGGCAGATACAATTTGTCTATCAGCTATTTCCAGACGTTCTTAGCAAAATAACAATAAAAAAAGAGGTAATCAGAGGTTTCAAAAGCGGCAAATAATATAAAGACAGGAAATTTTATTAGAGACCAAATTAAATAAATGATATTTTTGTCTTCTATGTTTTTGGATTCAATTTTTTTATTGATTTATTGAAGGATAAAATTAAAGTTCTTATGTTGATTCTTACTCATCACATTTAAAAAAAAAATTATTTTGTTTATAAATTCAGATAAAATAAAAAAAATTGAAAAATTAAAGATAATGTACTGCCGGTAAAATATTTTTGTTTCTTCCAATATGTTTTTACAAATAAACACACTATAAAGTAATTAAATATTAGGATTCCTTGTCTTTAAGATATGGATTTTATTTAAATAAAACATTTATCTACATGTATTAAACTAAGTCTCATCAAATAAATTAAGACCAACATAATAAAGTAACTTATAATATAACTTGTTGATAGTTTCTGTAATTATTTGACTTAAAATTAATTTTGAGTAGAGATATTTTAGGAGTTGGTTTGAAGCACATAATAAAAGCTAAATAAGATAATTATATTATTTATCTGATCATAATTCAATATTTAAATGATAATAGTAGATAAGTTAATTGTAAAATTTATATTATTTTATTTTTTTGTTAAAATTCGTATTTTAAATATGAGCTGGTTAAGAATATCCAAAACAAAATAAAATATAAAAATTATTTTCAATTAGTCTGTATTAACAGTTGCTTTATTCAGCGTTTTGAGAAGTAAAGTTCACAAAATAATTTATTATTTCTTTTGCATTCGTAGAGGTTCATTAAATAACAATGTTGTGTATGTGAGTTTGTTTAGTTTATTTTAAACCATTCTGTTATAATTGAACTTTATGTATATTTTCTGTTTTTGTTATTTAGTTTTTATATATATTTGACTTATAAAAATAAAATATTTAAAATATATGATTTTAAATACAGAAATTAAAATTTAATAAAATGAAATAAAAATAAAACAAATAAGGATATTAATATTAAAATAAATCATTAATTTATTCATTAAAATGACAATAATAAAAAATAAAATATTATATAAATATGAAAACTAATATAATATTTTATAAATTAAATATAAATTTATTTAATTATAATTTTGATCTCTCTATTTTATTAAATTCACGAAATTAATCTTTCTATTTTAAATTTTAACAATTTTAATCTTCTTCTATTTTTTGATCTCTCTCAAAAACAAATGTTACGTCCATCTTTTACCTTATTTATTTTTTAAATTCATCACAAATAATATATTATTTATAAAAAAAATACATCGTTAAATTTATATAAAAATATAAGAATGAGATAAAAAAATTGAGGAATAAAAAAATAATTAAATATTTAAATTTTCTTTGTTATATATATATATATATATATATATATATATATATATATATATATATATATATATATATATATATATATATATATATATATATATATATATATATATATATATATATATATATATATATATATATATATATATATATATATATATAAATTAAAAATATTGTTTTTTAATTTTTGATAGTTTACTAATATTAAAAATATTTAAAATTAATATTTACAAAAATGTAATTTGAATATAATATACTTCCTAAAATTTGATAGGATTATTTTTATAAGCATTTTTATATAAAAATAATCTGTCCAAACATGTAAAAACATTTTACTCATCTGTCCATATATAATAATTAAGTAATCTCTTCATTGTTTCATATATATTAATTCCTCCACCCACATTATATATACATCCAAAGTGCAACACAAACAATAAGTGGGGAAAGAAAATAGAACAGAGTGAACATGGCTGAAACAAAGGAAATCAAATCCCCACCAGTGTCATGTCCACCCTCTCAGCTTCAATACTCACCCTCTCTCACAAGATCACCACTTCTTCATTCAGAAAATGAAGACACACCACATCCAAAAAACAAAACACCAAGAATGCCTTTCACTCCACCAAGGTTTAATCTCACCCCTTTGGCAAGTCCTATGAGGAAAGCTTTTAAACTAACCAAGCTTGATCCTCAAGATGCTTGGTTGCCAATAACTGAGTCTAGGAATGGTAACAAATATTATGCTGCTTTTCACACTCTTTGTTCTGGGATAGGTATTCAGGCTCTTGTTATTCCTGTTGCCTTCACTATTCTTGGTTGGTAAGTTTTTATTTTACTTCTGAAATTCATAGATAGCCTTGTGAATATTTTTCCATTTTTTAGATTCATTGGCATTGTTTTTCTCCTTCATGCTACTACTAGAAGATTTTTTATATCGTATTATAATATGATATAATTGAATAACAGTATAAAATATTTTTTTATTATTGATAATTAAATTTTTTACAATATATTAATTTCTAAAAATATTTTTTATATTATTGATAATTAAATTTTTTACAATATATTAATTTCTAAAAATATTATTATATTGTTATCAATTAATATATAAAATATAATTTTAAATTAAAGTTTTCAATCATTGAATATAATAAAGTAATAAAAGATGATTGAGAAACTTGATTAAATAATTTATTTTGGACGTATTTTAATGAAATCTATGCATTTTAATCATGTTCATATATAATATCAATAGTCAAATTTAATAAAGCTTATAACACACACTTAGACTACTCCTTAGAAATAATTTGATGATACACAAGATTTTCAAAGCAGTTCACATGTTTCCCATTTTATTTTATTTTATAAAATGACAACCCACATAGTTGCATAGCAATTAGCATTATTCCTAACATTGTAATATTCATTTTATTTGTATAATATCAAAAGTTAAAATATTATTTGCATACAAATTAATATGCAATAATATAAACTTATTTATTCATTTTATAAATAATTACCATAATAATCTCAATACTTCCGGTCAATAAATAATAACTTCAAAACTTAATATTTCATTTAATAATAATGTTTTATAATTTGAAGAATCATTTAGCCTTTTACACCGGTCTTTACTTTATTCACAATTTATAATTTATAGCTGCTATATTTATAATAATTTTGATATCTCACTGTATGCATTAAAACAGTCTACATATAATAGTTAATAGTTAATGATATAATTATTTATATACCAGTGTAAACTTTATTTACTTTATTCATTTCAAAAAATAATAATTTGTTATTAGAGTATACAATTGTTATTGAATAGTTTTTCTTTATTTTTTCTTGTACAGCCAAGTTTATTTCAGACCTTTTTGTTCAGACGCATGGTGTTAAATTAATGTTAATGAAACAAAATGTGTAACTGGTTGCAGGACATGGGGAATAATAAGTTTGACTATAGCATTCATTTGGCAGCTTTACACTTTATGGTTGCTAGTTCATCTTCATGAATCAAGGGAGGAAGGTGTTCGTTATAATCGATACCTTGAACTCTGTTTTGCTACTTTTGGTAATGATGCCTCCACGTCTCCATTTACTTCTTTCATTTTTTATATTATGTAGACGATCTTGTAATTTATAAACAATAATATTAATTTTAATTGGAATTTTTTTTTTACTGAATCAATTGATTAAGTGTTAGGATGGTATGTTGCAGGTGAGAAATGGGGGAAATTGCTAGCATTATTTCCAATATTATACCTATCGGCAGGAACATGTACTACATTGATCATCATAGGAGGATCAACAGCTAGAACATTCTACGAGATTGTATGTGGAGAATCATGCACTTCCAAACCTATGACTACTGTGGAATGGTACTTGGTTTTTACATGTGCAGCTGTGGTTTTGTCTCAGTTACCAAACTTGAATTCTATAGCTGGAGTTTCCCTCATTGGAGCTGTAACTGCTGTTGGGTATTGTACCTCTATTTGGGTGATTTCTGTGGGACAGGGTACTCTACCAGGGGTGAGTTATAATCCTGTGAGGGGAGAGAACAATGTTGAAAAAACTCTTGGTGTTCTTAATGCATTTGGTATTATTGCCTTTGCGTTTAGAGGTCACAATCTCATCCTTGAAATTCAGGTATTTGATCATAACATTATGTTCCTTTTAATTACATTTTTTTGGAGTTAGTGACAAATGGAATTAAAGGAATGAACAGAAGAAATTTTGGTTTATTGGTCTATATCGAGTACTTGTCATTAGTTAGACTTTTATTTGCAAAAGTGCTAATTTGAAGTTTCTTTGCTTTTTTATCTTTTGACTTTTTGTAGTAATGAGATAGGTACATTTAGTTGATTAGAAGTGATGCTTTCAAAGTTGAAAAGTTGTTGAGGAGGTTGATTGAAGTATAGAAAATTGAAGTTATTGTATGACTTTTCCTTTTAGATTAAGAAGTCCAACAAAGTAGTTGGGATGTTGAGATAAAAAATTTACCATGTAAAGCCGACTTTCAGTCAAATGGAAGCAATTAAGAGAATTAGGAATTCATTATCTTAAAATATCTTTAGATATAGTTGAAGAGGTTTAAATGACTAAGCTCTAAATCAATTATTAGTGTCAATAACTTAATCCTACAACCAAGCTTGTGGAAATGTCTAAGATGTTAAGAAAAAACAAAACAAATGGATTTACTAAACAAACTATGTATTATTAATTAATTGACTAATTAATTCTTGAAATATCTTTTGATTCTAATCAAAGATCGTTTGTTGCAGGCTACTATGCCTTCAAGTGATAAGCATCCATCACACGTACCCATGTGGAAAGGAGTCAAAATTGCTTACACACTCATTGCCGCTTGCTTGTTTCCTGTAGCCATTGCTGGCTATTGGGCCTATGGCCAATTGGTAATTCATCCTACTCATACAATATTCATATTTAAAATCCAATAGTTAGTAGTTGTGCAGCAACATCTGAAATAGGTTCAAATCCGCGTTATCCCACTTTTTCATCTAAAAGATGAAATTTCAGTAACTTAAGTTGATTACTTTCATTGAAGATTCAAAACACTTCAGACAAAGAAATATCTTAACTTGTTTACTCATGGGATTAACAAGAAAATATTAAAATTTTAACATTCTCATAATTATTTATGTTTCAAAATGAACAGATTCCAGCAAATGGAGGAATGCTCACAGCTCTATACCAATTCCATTCTCATGACATGTCAAGATTTGTGCTTGCACTAACCAGCTTTTCTGTAGTAGTGAATTGTTTATGTTCATTCCAAATCTACAGCATGCCGATTTTCGATGACATGGAATCAAAGTACACAAAAAAGATGAATAAGCCATGTCCATGGTGGCTCCGAACAAGTATTAGAATCTTCTCCGGATTCGTATCCTTCTTCGTAGGAGTGGCAACGCCATTTTTGGCGAGCTTGGCTGGTTTAATTGGAGGAGTAGCATTGCCAGTGACATTAGCGTACCCATGTTTCATGTGGCTCAAAGTAAAAAGTCCAAAAAAGTATAGTGTTATGTGGTGTCTCAATTGGTTCTTAGGAACATTTGGTATTGGTCTTAGTGGCTTATTGATTGGTGCTAGTATATATGTTATCATTGAGACGGGTGTTAAAGTGAGTTTTTTTAACCCTAAGTAGTCTCAATCATATAAGAGGAAAGAACTACTATAAGGGAAATTACATTTGGAGGAAATTAAGATGATGATTGATCATGTTGCCTTTAAATTTGTACCCAAATTTCAAAATTGTATACCCCTTTATATGTGGTTTTGGTGTTGAAGTAAATAATATTGGTGATATTTTTAAGGTATTATTAATACACCATTAAAATATATTTTTTTAGCATGCAAGTATGGTACTTAAAGGTGTCTAATGTCAATGTGAGATGCTTGTGTAGGTTCAAATTAAGCTTACTTTCTCTTTCAAGGATTGACTATTTTTGTGGAAGTTCGATTGTTTTCAACAATGCCATGTTGACTTGTTTACCGGTTGAAGAGTAAAAATGTTGGTCATAATCAATCGGTTTAATTTTCAAAATGTTCTACTTTCTTCCTTAGTTTTTTTTTACTTAAGTTGATGGTTTCTTTTAGTATTTTTCATACAAATTATGGAGTTGTTAGGTTAAACCTTAGAGGTGTCAAATAGATTTCTCCTTATTCAAATCTATCCCCACTTGGTATTTATTCCATTTTGCTCTTCATAAGCCATCATGACATCACATTTAGTTGAGCAATTAGAATCATTATCATTATGGGTGAGTGCTAATAGTCGTGATGCACCACAACTTTGTAGACGGAATCATCGACTTCATTGCTGAGCTCTCGTTTGTCAAATGAACGGCATTTGTATTTAGGAAACAAAAATTGTCTTGAGGCAAAAAAATGATTTTTTTAAAATAATGATTATTTATAGCAACAGTAATTTTATGGTTTACAAAATGAAGATAATTCAAAATTTAAGTTGCTAAATTCTCCTCACAATGATTCATAATCCTGTTTCCTTCTGAAGAATTCAAAGAGGTTGCTTACGGAACAAATTGTACTCCCTCCGTTTCAAAATAAGTGTCGTTTTAAAGAAAAAAAATTGTTTTAAAATGAATGTCATTCTCACTTTTCAATGTAGCAATTATTGATATTTTTCCAATTGTGTCCTTTAATTATTAGTTTGTACACTACTTTTAACCAATTAATAAGGCAAATTTAATAAAAGTGAAATGTCTTATGACAATATTATTGCATTCCTTAATTCGTGTGTAAAAATCTTACACGACACTCATTTTGAAACGGAGGGAGTGATTTTCTGCTTCTACTGCTGTAAAATAATCAGATCAAGAAGTTTCACAACAAGCAATAGACTGCCCACTGCTATATAACTGACATTTTAACATATATGCATACAGTACAATATAAGCTGCAAGACCAGCTGGCTAAATAATTTCACTATTTATTTCAAGTCAAAATAATGAGTATAATTTGCGGCAGTATTGTGTTCTACAAAGACTTTGAAAGAACTAAGTCGGATTCTAATATCAAATATTGCAAAGTTCTAAACTTTGATTGTTGATCTCTTTATGGAAACATAAATAGGAAATTCTGGTATTTTTCAAGTCATTCTTTTGCCACTCGGCATGTTAACACAAGCACGATCGCAAAGGTGGTCACTTCAACAGATAATTGCTGCAAATACGCAGCTTAAATATTCTACTGCCCTTTGCATTTCATGACAGTGGTCAGATTGATATTATATAATATCCTGGTCTAAAATATAACAAGTGTAAAGCAAAAGAACATACTACAGCACTCAACTATACAACAAACTTGAAACATTGACCTTCAAAATTTAGCAAAGAATGAATGATAGAAGAGAAATCGCATCCATAATATCCTAAAGTTAACATCTAATCAAACAGATACATTGACATACTCTATGCACTCACAAATATAATGTTGGACGAAAGGACTTCTACTTGAACAAAACTTAAACCATCAGCAACACCGGCAAGTTGCAACATCAGAGCATGTGTATTGCATTGACTTTTCCTCAATCTCTTGCGGTGTAGGTATTGGTTCAAAACGGTATGAGCAGCAGAAGCTGTAAATATTTCTGCAAACTCCTTTACTAAAAGGGTGCACTCTTTCTGGAATTTCCCTGCAGATTAATATAATGTAACGTGCTTAACATAGATATCTGGAAAACTGACATCTAACCATTTACAATCAACATACACATGTAGCTGAAACATTCAAAGCAATGTACCAACCAAAAAAACAGAATTGCATTCCTCAATACTGTCTTTAGATGATTAGGTTAAAAATATGAAATAATACAAGAACATATGGGGATTGCTTATCTAACCTTAGATAAGTAATCCGTCTTCTCCTTACAAGTTCATAGGTAGTCTGATTGGTCAGAATTAGATAACTGCAAAAAGATAAATACAGTGATGCCCTTACTGTGTTGTACCAGGATGCTCAACTATAAAGTCAAAACCGTGGAGATGTAGCGCCAGAGTATAAAAGGGGAAGAACAATATTGATATTTTATTCCACATATGGTTATATTGACATAATGAACTCCTAATATTTAGATAAGACGCAAATGGTAGCAAACTCGTTCCACAACTTATAAACCAAGAGGTCATTCTGCTATACATCCTTTTTTCAAACACTTGGTACACTTTTTTCTAGCAATGGCTTCTAACACTTGATTCACAAAACCTCCCAAATAAAAATCAGGAAAATTGAATTTAAGTTCAACTCCTTGAAATAATTATTTTATGGTACAGAGATAGATCCATTTAGCCTTCATTAGATAAAACACATGGTTTGTTGATCAGGCTACATCAAGGTGATGCAAGATATATAAGTGTAATCTGATGCAAGATACATAATTATACTATAAATAATTACAGGTATTACCTATGAAATATCAGTAGGAGAAGAAGAAAGCTAAGTGAAATTGACAGAGCGATCAAAAGTAGTATCATGATGGCATCCTGCCACCTGACAGTCAAAAAAATTGAGCATCCAATTTCAGATTACAGAATGAACAGATAGAAGGAGGGTTGGGTCTTCTTCCTTAGGATTTGGCAGAATTCATAATTCATAATTAAGTACAAGAGGAATGCTAACAACATATTCTCCATCAAAGTATCATGATGTAAATTTCATGTGAATCTCACTAAATAAAATGCCCTGGTTATCTAGTAGACCAACAACAAACTCAACCAATAACAAAAAATATGATAAAAAAGATAATACAAAGTACATGTTCATGTTAGAATAGAAAAAGTATACAATCATCACCAATATTAATTTATCTGATTTTTATCCCTAATGACCACCAGCTGAAGCCGGTAACATTACATTGGTGTCAAGATAAAGTAAGCCATAGCAAAAAGGTAAGGTCAGAATCATCATATACACTCGTGAGGGGTATGACCACAGATCCCCACCCATCCGAACTCCTGATATCCATGTCATTTTTCTGAAGGGAGGATTTGACTAATAAAGATTTTCCATCATTTTTATTTTAGAGAGTCTATGAGTATTAACATTCATCCTAAATCAATCTATAGAAATCATACCAAACCATTGTAATGTGAGCCATCAGGTGTGAAAGATACAAGAAGCCAGTCCAGATGCACACTGCCGTCTCTTCACAAAGGTACCACCTAAAGTATTTTGACAGAAAGGAGGAAAATTTGTATAAAAAAAAGTCTGCAAAGATGCAAAGGAAAATATAAAATTGTTGTTATATGGAGAACATAAGCTAAAATTCCCATTCATCATTTTTATAAGTGTTCAAGTAATGCTGTTAAATAGTATATTAAGGTGCTCTCACACAAATACATATATATGCTGCTTAAAACCATCTGTAAATATTAATCCGGATAGTACTTAATCGAACATATAACTCAATCGGAAAATAAAAGCACATACGTTGTAAAAATAAATAAATGGATAGTGCAAGAATAACATGCTCAAGATACTTCTAAGTTTATCAAACTCAATTCTATTTTTTTCAAAGAAAATGAATAGTGATGTATATTGCAACTAGAAAATTAGGAATCATGAAACAAACAAAAGATACTACTGATAATTTGTGGTGAACAAATGCATTTCCAGGACATTTATACTTCAGCCAAATATCACTAGTAATAGTATAAAAAATATCACCAAGCTAGTATTACATTTTAGGTAAAAAACAAAATTTCATATCTCAATATTATCGACTCACCAAAATTGGCAATGATTACCCTGGCCAATGCAATTTCCAAGCCAAACACAGTGATGATCAAACTGAAGAACGCATTTGTCACAATCATGACAATGCTTTGCCCGTGGAGGCTGCATAATGTTCACCAACAAAATAATTGAGCATCAAAATCAAGAGGATAAATTATTAGAAAACAAAATTGTAGCGAAAAGAGACTTGTCCAGCATTCTTGGTAAAGAAAAAAAAAGAACTCCTAGTGTGCTCAAAGTAATGTATAGAATATAGGGAAAAAGCAATTTGTAAAAATGAAGAATGAAGTACAATACATCACTTAGATTTGGATAGAAATATTGCTTTCTTGTGCTTGTGTTATAAGCACGCAACCCAGCATGACATATTTGACACATTCATGCTTATATGGTACTGTGTTTAATATAATGCTGTACAAAATGAATTTGAGTACTTAAACCATCAAACAAATGCCGCACTATCTCTAAAATATGCATTAAAGAAGCAATAAAAAAATAACTTATCAATATCATGAAATAATACAAATTAAATTACATATCGCCATTCGTAATACCTGCTCCACATTGCAGTAGGTGCATGTCCATGTTCTGCAAGGAAATAATTATTCATAAAAATTAAATCGAAAGTGTATGGAATCAGAGATAAAATAGATACCTGACTGTTGATCCAGGAGGATACAATTCGGCCACCAACTTTGACCAATATGTTGCATTACTTCCTGCAACACTTCTTCCAGGCTGACTCCCCTCGATGGAAATTACAGCGCTCCCATTTTTGCTTGAAGCTTGTTGACTTTGCTTAACCATTCGGAATTTGAAAATAAATAGTTAGATAAGAACTTACTTCACGTGTTATCATATTCTTATTTAAATGATAAATTTTAGAACGGA